TGAATAACGTTTAACACTTCTGGGACGTATAATATAAATAAGCTTTCAATTCGGACCAGCAACTAGCTGATGCCCTTGATAGTTAATCTTAATTGAATTAAGAATCTAATATGTAATTTTTTCAATGTAATTAGGGTTCACTAAGATTAGATATTGTTTTTCAAGAAGGTAGTTTCTGTTGCGATTGCATATTCAAATTTATATTGGCTTTTAATGTCATTTGATTTTGAATTTCTTTTCCACTTTTCCCTTGGTTGATGTTTCAGGATACCTCAGGTTGGCCTTTAATTGCTCCCTTGCCTTCTTATGGCAGAGGGAGGGAGCTCCCTGGTGGAAGGTACATGAGCTTTATTCATGGAGATGAAGTTCATGATGTGATCATCACTGGTAGGTATCAATATGCGCTTTTGCAGTTGTTAGTGATGATCTACAATGTCGGTTCTATGATATCTACCAAATTTGCGTAGAACTACAGAGTGGCACTCCTAGTATCTGTTTTAAACCCGAAAATTTTTACTTTTACAGGTGAAAATGGGACCATTGATGGCCAAGGAGATGTCTGGTGGAACATGTGGAGGCAAAGAACTCTGCAATTTACTAGACCGAATCTAATCGAATTGGTGAACTCTAGGAACATTATCATATCGAATGTGGTATTCCGGAACTCTCCCTTTTGGAACGTTCACCCTGTTTATTGCAGGTAATAATTGAACATTGATTTTAACTATGTGGTTTTACATTTGAAAAAAAAATAAAAATCTCCTTTGTGTAGTAGGAATAAACGCATCTACGCTCCACAATACACGTTCCTGCGTTATTGTGGGTTTTACAGTGAACTAGTCAAGCATCTTTCATAGAACTGATGTAAATAACTGTTTTTCCCAAAATTTTTAACGACTTTACCTCTGAAATGCACGTCTATTAAGTAGGTTTCATTTTAAATACAGTTCTTTCAAACTGATTTCTGTTAGGCTACTTTAAACAGTCTCTTATTTGTCTGAACGAGGACACTGGTTTGACAAATTTTGCAAGGAGAATCTTTTTAATTTTGTATTTGTTAATTCTCTTTGTGCAGCAATGTTGTCGTCCGCTATGTGACTATATTGGCTCCACACGACTCTCCGAACACTGACGGAATTGATCCAGGTAAATATATGTTCTTTGGATAAGTTATCTTGTTTGTCGCTTGGACTTATCAGTGACCTAAATACCTCAAGTTGATTGCCCCCAGTTGAAATGAAAAGCTTAATTAATGCCGCATGTGTGTGCACATTTCATCTTTAGTTTGTAGTGCATCAAATTTAAACTGTACACGTCTTGGCAACTCATTTATACAGACTCAAGCTCCAACGTCTGCATAGAGGACTCTTACATATCCACCGGAGACGATCTCGTTGCCGTAAAGAGTGGATGGGACCAATATGGAATTGCATACGGCCGCCGCAGCTCTGGCATCACGATTCGGAGGGTGACTGGCTCATCACCGTTCGCTGGAATCGCAATAGGAAGCGAAACCTCTGGCGGGGTGCAGAACGTCTTGGCGGAACACATAAACCTCTACAACACTGGAGTTGGTATCCACATAAAGACAAACATTGGCAGGGGAGGGATCATAAGGAACATCACAATAAACAACGTCTACATGGAGAATGCAAGGAAGGGAATAAAGATTTCAGGAGACGTCGGAGACCACCCCGATGACAGATTTAACCCAAACGCTCTACCTGTTGTCAAGGACATCAAAATTAAGGATGTTTGGGGCGTCGGGGTTCTCCAGGCAGGTCTAATACGAGGATTAAGAGACTCTCCTTTTACTGGAATTTGCCTTTCCAATGTCCACCTTCGTGGAATGACCGAACCACGAACACCTCCATGGCAATGCTCCGATGTGCTTGGGGCCTCGGTTCAGGTAAGCCCTTGGCCGTGTGCACAGCTCAGCAGCACCCAACAAAGAGGCTCTTGCTCCGATCACTTCTAAAATAATATGTAAAAGTTCCAATCTTTTTTCT